GGGGGGGGGGGGGACGATAAGCGCTCTGGGAAACGAGGATTTGTAGGTATACATACATTATACAATAGGGTTCATTTTTAAGTATAATTGAATTTGGAAAGTTCCAATACGTCCGTTGTATTCTACGTGAAATCTCGATATAAGGAAGCACGTGTTGTGGTGCTGAATTTTGTGCCCTATCTGATGATCCATTGGCATAATGCCCCAGCCCCATGGGCACAAGAAGCTGATAATGAGACCACTTATGTCAATATCTTTGATACTTTAGGATCATTTGTCGATCATTCATGCAATTGAATTTACCTTCATCCTTCATCATGAGATCACATGAAAAGAGAAGAAAAAAATTACTATTTTGTAGATAGGAATACATTATGTTTTACATGCAAAATTACTGAAAAAAATAGATTTAGATAGGTGATTAATATGGGTCTAATATCTTTCGTCAAAAAAAAAAAAAAAAAATGTGGTCTGATAATACCTTAAAACACTTAAAAATAGAATGGCGGAGATAGGAATCGCAAGAATTTCTCACCTTCATCTGGGAGAATACCTAACCAGTGGTTTTATAGGTGCTCATGTGCCTACAAAAAACACATGATTGTGTTCGAAAAATCAGGGGAAAAATTATTAAAAAAATTCCAACTCATTATTAGCCACTCAAGACTTAGTGTAAAAAGATACTTGGATGAACGATGATTTCAGGCAGGCCTGTATGAGGGAAAGGGCAATATTGAGGAGAAAGAGGGTATATTCTAGGGTGTGAGTTCTGAAAGACTGTGATTAGGTTCAAATATTGAGATTTTACATAGGTAATTTTTATAAAAAATGTTTAGTTTTCCCTTCACAAAAAACAACTGTTCAACGGATCCTAAAGATGAAAAACTGGTCAATTGTCTATGCAGGGTAGGTCTGATGAACTTCACGAAGTTAAGAGGATGTTACTACTGTCTACGTCCATAACGAGCTTCTTTCATTCTGAATCAAAAGTGATTAAGTTTCCTTATGCTCTGACTACAATTACGAGGAAATTGATGATATTGTTACTTTCCTTGTTTTTCCTATAATTCAAGAAATTATTGATGGAAACTGCATATTGAGTCATTTGTTGAACATCACAACGTTATTGTGGCCAAGTTTGAACCTACTGCGTTTGTACCGATTGTTAAAAATTGACAGAAGACGTTGGTTCATTTTACATGGATTTTCCCCCTAGTTTTTTTTAGAAAGTTTCATCGCTTTAGTTTTATCGCTTTACCCCTGCTAATGTGATCACAGTGTTTTCTCTCTAATTTTCAATTTTGTACCTCCACGTTTCATAATTAAGGGTCTTGAAGGACAAGGCGCATAAGTGCAGTTTTTGCTATTTCGAGAAAAATATGTTTGAAGTTTCAAAATTGAGGATCCTCATGGTGGAAAGATAGTTCAAACTGACTTTTTGATGCTTTAAAAATGGAATTTTAGAGCGAAATTTCAAAGCTCTTCCAGCAAGTAACTTTAAAAATTCCAGATAAATTCTTAGTATCCGGCGTACATAGCCTAGTTGCTGATCGTCGCACAGCGGAACAAGTCTTTGGAAGAGGTCGGATATGAAATTTTTGACAAAAATTGTAAAAGTTTACGTTTGTCTCGTCGCAATTTTAATTTTAAGGGGTGGTTTATATAGGCAATTTCACTAGAAAACCAATGAAACTACTTTCAAAACACCAACAATTCATACTAATAAAAATATACGGTTTTGAAGTTGTTAAATCATGTCGGACCTCTCCAATCGACTCGATCCACTGTGCGTAGTAATAAATTAACCGACTAATAACTCATTCCGTGGGACTAAAATTTCTGGTATTCCTGACTAGATTATTGGTTACGAGACTGGTAAGGGACTCGAGGTGCAGTAACAAGGTAATGTGCTGGTGGTAAAAATTGTGTACCTAAAAGGGCATGAGCCATCTCCTTCCTCTAAAGCCATCGGACACCCAATCTCACTAATATCCACCGCGGTCGACCCAACTCTCCACTACGCAGCTCCGCCGGTCTTTGCTCAACGGTCGCTGGAACTTTAAGCCCGTTCCTAGTTAGCTCCGTCTCCTCCTCTCCTGCACCCTCTCCACCCTCTCTGCCACCTCTCATCCTTTTCCCGATGGAAGTAGACAGTTGACCATACCTGGGACTCGCGCGAGAATTCAATGCCTGTGTTACTTGCCCTGCAACTGAGAAAATTTTCAAACCAAATTTTTCATCCATTACCTATGTCTAAAATTGACGCACTTATGCCAAAAGAAACTAAATAGATGCAAATGAATGAAATTATCTATATACCACGCAAATCCTATTCACATAGCCCCTTTTGAGGCCATGAATTTTCACATATACAGTAAAAGCTTGCTAGATCGAACCACGGTCAAGACGAAATTCCGATTAAGTCGAATTTTTTTTCGGTCCCTAGACACGTCCATACGTTAAGTGGAGAATCGGTTAAGACAAATTGCCGCTTAATTCGAATTTTTTTTCGGTCCCTACACAATTCGACCTAGCGAGCTTCCACTGTAGTCCCTTTCGGCAAAAATACGTCCAAGTATAACAAGTAAGTGGATACATTAGGTCGAGTTTGATAATAATTATACGTTGATATATCAGAAGTTTGGTCACAGACAGAGACAACTGCCATACAGGGTAAACTGTTTAGAGTTTCGTGATGTCTAATCAGAAAATTACAATTCAGGGTAAAAAGAAAAAAAAAAAACCCTTAGCAATATCTATAGAAATGAGTTGCAAGCCATTTCATTCTCTGCATTGCCAATGGAGGACACATAATTGCATTATTGTGACTCAAAAATGCGTTGAGCCGCAATTATGGCAAATTCAAATTACAAATAAATGTTTCTCAAAACTGCGACTTTTTATGGGAAACCGCAAAATGTCATAATCAGGAGTGATTGGTCCAGGGAGGCGGGGGGTGACCGCCCCCTCCGATCCCCACCAGACCCCTCTTCTGGTGGGGGCGATCGCCCCCTATTCTTCGGACCGAAAAGCTCCGCAGCTGTATTTCTTGGCTTTTGAAGGAAGCTCAAGCCTCCCAGGTCCTATTTTAAACCTTGTTGCTCTTCTATCCCGACACAAAGAGCCACAATCATCCTCTCGGAACAGTGGCGTGGCGTACTTTGCGATATATCGAATGATCTGACATTTAAACCTATGGAAAAGGATCGATAAACAGGGTGTTCGCAGCAAACACCTTATTAATCGATTCTTTACCATAGGTTTAAATTACATATTAATCAATATATCGCAATGTCTCGGAAGGGCGTGATGCGTGCCCTTCTAAGAATCAGCAGCAGTTCATCCTATTTATAACTCTACCATATAGTTTGAAATTATTGTACTCTCTTTTTGTGCAAAAATGTTCGAAAACATTTCTGTCAGCATTACTAAGACACCAGCTTGGAGCTCAGCAATATCAACATCTCAGTTTTGAGTTTTTATGGGCACCCTAAAGTTCTCTTCTTCCACAGACGGCATACATGAAATTTTTATTTAGCAAACATTTAAAGTCTTTAAATTTTTTTTTTATTTGCTTGGTAGAAAATCACTAAGTTTCTCGTAGATGGACATTAATTGAAATCTGGGTGCTATTTTAACTACTTTTCGTAAAGGCATGCCCCATCCATTGCGATTTGGAATGAGGCTTTATCAAAATAACGTGTCGTTCAAATAATTTGGAGTTAAATAAACTCGTGCCTGGTGAATTCACTCCTCTCAGTTAGTAGGGAATCCCTGTTTTTTGACGGTTAACTCTTCTGATGATTTCACTGTTACCTCGAGTGAAAGTAGCGTATTTCAATCCTTTTAGAAGCAGTGGTGAGGCGTCAATAATCGAGTATCGATATTTCCCCATTTGAAGCTATGGAATAGAATCGATTGGGTATTAAGGTATGTTCGTTGCGAACTCCCTATTTATCGATTTTTTCCCGTAGATTTAAATGACAGATAAATCGATATATCGCAAAGCACGCCGCGCCACTGGTTAGAAGTCATCCACTCTGGCTCTCAGTCATATGCACTCCTCTTCTTTTAAAGGCAATTTTTGCGTATGCGGACTACTATTCTCAGTATCCGATGTCCATTGATGCTGCGCTAAACATATTTCCCATGACCCAAACTTTACCGCCAAGGAGTCGGAAACCACAACGCCACTCCCGAGGCCGGCGTTACGCTCTTTACGTAACATCACTTCCGTTTTATGTTTCAAAAGTGCGCGCCGTGATATCACTATTTCAGGGAGTAGCTTCAAATCATTGAGAAAAATATCAAGTTCGTAGACTGGAGAGTGACCTTGCCATCAGAAGCCCGCGCATGGTGAATGGTGCAATGTTAAGGTGACTTAACAGGTGAGTATAAATCGGAAGTGTGCGTGAATTAGCAATTACTTGTGATGAATTCAGTGATATCAGTCGTATTCATCAAGAGAAAATGAAACACTAACTTTGTCATGTATCTAATACCTACTAAGCATTATATTGATTTTATTGAAACATTCTAAAAAGATTTTTTCCTCCCAGTATGTTGTCTTCGATGCATTTTCTACGACGTTAATTGAGATTTTGAGACAGAAGTTTCAGTGGACGAGTACCCAATTTCATAAACTATCCACACATATAACACACACACACTATACACACAACACTATAACACAACTATCCAACCATAAACCTATAGAAATGTATCGATCCTTAAAAAGGCCGCAGGTGCTTGACAAGAATCGATTATTTAGCATAGGTTCACAGGGCCGGATTTAGCGGATGTCCAAATGGTCCACATGGCGGCAAATTTAGGGGGCGGCAAATTTTGCAATTTTTTTAAATGCAGGAATAAAAAAAAATCGGATTCAGAAAAAAAATTACAAACGAGAAAAGGCGACAATGTCTCTCATTTCCTGATAGTATTGTAATTTCTAATTTTGTCGTCTTTCTGTGATACAAGAGACGGCACCTTTAAAATTATTTAAGTTAAGAGAGAAACCAAACACGCAATTTGGCCTGGAACGGCGTGGCGCAGAGAGCAATGATGACGAGGACTTGAGATGAAAAGAAGAAGCCCTCGACGCAATGGTCGGCATGTAACACATATCAGCGCCTACAAGACTGCATGAATACTTCACGCATTACGTCAAACACAGTACGGCCGGCGCGGCGCGGCGCGGCGCGCGGCAGTAGAAGTTAATATTATGAAACCACATCTATGTCTGTTTTTTCATAACTTTTTCGTTCATCTCTCATGAAAGGAAGGCCTTGTCCACACAGAGATAGGTTTACGAAACTTGACTTTCGCGCCAAGTTCCATGAACTTTTGTTGGTAGTGTTGACAGGGCTTTCGAAAAAAATGTGTCCAACACAAGTAGACGCGTCCTATGCGCCCCTCCCCCTCTCCCTCCGGCACGTTCACTTGATAGTTTTTTATTGATGTTTCAAAACGAATGAGAAGGAGGCGGCTAAATACAGGCGGCCCGTGGATGGCAAGTAGGTAAATCCGGCACTGTGGGTTCAAATGGAGAGAATCTGGTGTTGCCGAATGGCTGGATCCGCCCCATGGAACCAAAGGGGAGGAACGAGGATCACTCGCAACTTGCGGATGTGTAGAAGGAACGTAACGAAACGCCTTCAAGCATTGAAGATGCAATACCACTTTCATTTTGCTCGCGTTTGGGTAGCAGCTCGCGGTGCGTCGCGCTGAGGGCCTAACTACGTCACCAGCAAACAGATCACAACGCTTAAGACAAATATTCGTGCTCAACTGAAACTGAACTGCATACGTAGAGGAATAAAGTTAGAGGGCCTGTTCACATGCTCACAGCAATCTTACCTCTCAATGCTGTTTCAATAAAAGGGGGGAGGGCTAATCTAGTTAATAGTTTTTTCTTCTTTTTTTTCTTGGTGTCTGTCCGTAGAAACATTTTGCCTAACAATAAAACTGCACAAGAAAAATTTGGAAGAGCTGAGCAGTGACTTTTTTCAGAAATGTGCAGTACATTCCAAAAGATTCTTCCGAGTTTTCAATATGAAGTATTTTCAAGTAAAAAGAGGAGGATAAAATTAATGGTTTTCAATTGGAAAATATACGATGAAAAAAAGGTGGGGAGAGGAAACTCAAGATAAAGTTACCATGAAGATACCAAACAGAAGTTGCATTTCCAGCAAAGGTTCCCTGATGTTGTTTATACACAACATGATTAAGCTTCTAAAAGTGGCTCCATTGATTTCCTCGTGAAATTTTCTTACACAGGCACCCCATATAATCTAAAATGTGACGAAATAAACACGAACATTTTCAGTTTTAGTCAAAAATTCCATGTCCGACTTCTCAGATTGACTCGATTCACCGTGCGACCATTTACGAATGCGATGAGTAACACATTTTGTCACTATTAGCGGAAAAACTTGAAGGCGCAGCGGTTTTTTCAATGGTTGGGTTGGATACAACTATTCGTGTTCTTGGGATGTGCGTGTTGCATAACCAAAAATTGCAGGCGCTTTGCATTTCTAAAGCACAACGTGAACGTGGCCGCGGTTGTTACTTCTTAAGGGTTTTCTACTTGCTTTTATAATCGTGTTACCTATCTATAAAATCCTCCAAGTATACAAATGCGCAAGGATGCATCACGATAGCGTTGGCAAGTGGTTCAAATTTTCTATCAAAACCATTTCCAAAAAAGCATCGCGGATGTCAATCCTGAATATTAGTGGCAATAACATTCCCGCAATTGTTTCCCTCATTTAATTCATACGCCGCACAAAGATAGAGCGGTTTGATTGTCAATCAAATTTAAAAAAAAGGAATAATAAATTTATAATAATAAAATACCTATATAAATAAAATAGAGAATATTCATGCGGCATTACTCGCCTGACTTTATCGGTGATTATACACTTAACTTCCTTCTGAATTTTCTCATTTAGGTAACCTGAAAATCGGTATTTAAAAATCGTTTCCTATAAATTTATCATTATCCGCTGCTAGTGACACGACGTTGCCAAATGTTTAGTGCAATTTGCAGAACCGTTCTCGGCAGAAACAAGCGTGATTCCGACCTATTGTGAGCATCGCTGTTTACAGATTGACAAGTTTCCTTGGATCTAAAAAACCTCTGACTTTCCAGATATTTCGAACATATAAATCCCCGACTTTTTCTTGGCTTTTTTGTGTTTTTCCAACATGTTGTCTGATAAATATTCTATTCACAAACAATTCTGGGCCTGAAGAGCATCAAATTTCGGAAATTTCATCGGTCGTGATGAACGGAGCTGACATCCGCAATTCCTTCGTGCGAATGTTTTGGGTAGATGATCTGCGGAAATTTGCACCATTTGGCAACGCCGCCTTGGAGCTAGTCGACTGGACTTAATTTCGTGGATTTCATGTTAAACACAATCGTAATTAAAACATAGAAAACCCTTTGGAAGTAACAACCGGAGCTACGTTTACGTTGTGCTTCGGAGAAGCAAAGCGCCTGCAATTTTTTGTTAGGCAACACGGACATCCCACGAACACGAATAGTTGTATCCAGACCTAACCATTGAAAAAGCCGCTGCGCCTTCAAGTTTTCCCGCTGATAATAACAAAATGTGTCACTCGTTGCGTTTGTAGGACGTCGTTGCATGAAATAGGGCGGTGGGTGCGTATTTAATCAAATTGAGAGCAGAAAATAAGTAAATTGATGATAAATGTTTCAACATGATGGCAACCATTCCTGCGGATATTACTCGCCCGACTTAAGTGACAGCTACACACTTAACCCTCTTCTGAATCTCCTCATTAAATTTACTTGGAAAAATGTAAAAATCCAATAAGAATCGTATCCTGTAAATTGTTTTAAATATTTTGTAAGTGGCAGCGTTGCCAAATGGTGCAACCTGCGGAAGTGTTACATCGGCAAAAACGAGCGAAATCGGTACTTAGGTATCGTGATCATTGCTTTTTGCAGGGTGACATGGATTTGCAGTTCTCATGGATTTAAAAATTCACTGACCTCTCACATATTTTGAACATAAAAATCCGCGACTTTTCTCAGGCTTTTCGGTATTTTTTGGCATAATTTTTGATAAAATTCTTGTCACAAACAACTCTGAGCGCAAAGTATCTAGAAAAAGGAAAAATACGATGCTTTGGCTGGAGGAGAGAATTTCTAGGCAAAATTTAGTAACTTTTCTCGACTTATCACGTTTGCGCAAAATTCCTGAAATAGAGAAATTTTCTCTAAAAAACGGGTGTTACTGTAGAGAAAGAGCACTGTACATGAATTACGACTAGGTTTTCTTCTTTAATTTATATTTAGGTTACGTCTTTTTTGTGACTCAACTACATTCAAGTGTTTCCAACTTTTTATCTGAAATACGAGTGATGAGAAAAATAGAAAATGAGATGGGAAAAAACAGAAAGGAATAATAACCTGTGAAACATGGCATTACTACCACCTAACGAGCTGTTGGACGTAAAAAAGTATTACTGATCAGTAAAAATCAAAATTAATTTATTAACAATAACATTTTAACAACTGTAACATTGACCATGGAAAGAATGAAACTAAAAATAAACATAGAAATTGGCAAAGAATCCTATCGCAAATGAGACTGCATTCAGTGGGCAAGTTTGTATGTAAGTGAGTATTAGAGAATTTTTCCATTTTGAACTCCAAGCCTCAATCATGTAACAGGAGCTTCCACACGAATTCCTGAGCTTAAAGCTTATCATAGGAAAATGCATTGTAAAACTCCCTGCACATCTGAGTTTTACAACTAATAGTAACATTAAGAAACTTTAAGTTTTTATTTATTGATAAAGCTGAAAAGTCTAAAGCCGAAAGACAGACTGCATAAAAAACCATCAATTTTACTTCATCTTACTTTCATTCAAACCACATAATGCATTTTGCCATTGACCGGGGTTGGCTTGAACAGCTTGCACCTTTATGCACCACTTAATTAAATTATAAAAACAAGGACTTCAGCAGTCAAGATCAAAGACTAAAAACTAAAGAAGCACAAGTGCCTTAACACAAATTAACTTCGCAATAGGAAAGCTGGTTTTAAACAATGTTTCACTTAGCATAGGACAGGCAAAATGGAGCAAATACAATATTTCTGTTACTTCATAGGTACAAAAAATGATATTTAGGCCTTAAACAGATGTTTCATTTAAATATTAAAGTCTTCATTCAGGCTGGAGCCAGCTCTGATGGTGTACACCTTATTTTTCATATTTGATATCAAATTCATATCCACTTCTCGTAAAAGCTGCGAACGAGTTTACAATGATTTCTATTCATTCAGAATCAAGCAAAAGAAAGATAATAGAAAATTTATTATCATAAAAAGGAATGAAATTTGCCTTTTGTGCCTCAGAAGCACAAGGCTTTGAACTATTATTATCAATGCACATTTTAAGACATCAGAACAGGATAAAAATGTCAGTCATTCACGGATTTTTGTCTTTCATTTTTGGCTCTACACCTTGTGCAAGACATTCATATTGAGATTAACATACTGTTGCATGGATAATGCTGAAAATAATGCAAAGTGCTCATCGGTAACTTTCATCTATACAGAGCAAGCTTTCTTGAAAACATCAAGATTTATATCTTTGAAGGATGTAGCAATGGTTGGATATTAGAGCCGTACATACTGCCTTAATGATCCAAAATGCATTTCTCAAGCACTTATTACAAAGCAAAATGACCAATTGATGTTAAGGCATGATAAACATACCAACTAACCAACCGTACTTAAGTATGTGATATTTTAGCGTGTTACCACTATTGTAAAGGTGGTACTGTTGTAAAAAAGATAAAAAAAAGAAAATAACTATTTGTTACGACAGTAACACGAAAATAAAAGATTGCTATTTAAAAGTTCAGAGCTTCATTTAAAATTGTTAGAACATTAAATGATGCAAACTTGATCTAATATCAGTTCATTACCCTATAGACAGTGACATGGACTTCTAATAACGTTTTAACTGAATAAAATGAATGATTCAGAGCTAATTTTTGATCTTTTAATTGCGCTTGTTTCAATGAACAACATGGAAAATAAGAGCTCAATGAAAAAATAAAAAATAAATAAATAAAAAATAAAAAATAAAAGGGACATGATGAATTGAATTGACTTTGAAAAATGAAAATTCCTGAAAACTATAAAGACCTGTTGAAGTTACTGATTGACTAAGTAGCTCAGTATTTGGAAAGAGAAAACATTTTTTTCTTGAAAACATGTAGTCTTTCTTTAACAAGATTAACAGATCTTGGCAAATGTTATGAAAAAAATAGAGAAGACAAAAAAAATACATTTAAGAAGAAAGAGTCTACAGTGTCCTAATAATAGAAGTTTTCTGTTATTAGCCAAACACAGATTCATTACTTTTCACTGGGACAATTGTTTGCTTTCATAAAGCAATTTGAAAATAGACTTTTTTTGAGTTACAAACAAGAAATCGACAAAAGGTAACTCACACTTGAGACGAGAATCTCAGTTCTTCCGAATCTCCTAACAGAAGTCTTGGATTCTCTAAGTAAAGTTGTACAATTTCTAAGAACATGGCAGCATCAGGCTCACTAATTGCTCGAGCATCGTACGATAATTGGGATGCCATTTTGGTGAATGGTTTACCGTCTAGATTGATCAGTGACCTGCCACCTCCAACTGCCAAAATACCACACTGGGGTGGATTGATAATAGCACTAAACTCTGATATTCCAAACATACCTAAGTTAGAGATTGTAAAACTACCACCCTGGAATTCATGAAGTTGCAACTTGCCTTTCCTGGCCTTACCTGCAAGTTCCCGAACTTCTGCTGATATTTCAGTTATTGATTTAGTGTCAGCTGACTTAACAATCGGAGTAATTAGTCCATTTTCTGTGGCAACTGCAACTGAGATGTCAATTCCTGGTGCAGAGACAATTTCGTCTTTCACGTACAAACAGTTTGCTACAGGGTATTGCTTCAAAGCTAGGGCGACAGCTTTAATAACAAAATCATTGACAGAAACACTGATGCCTGATGCCTTAAGCTCTTTGCGTATTGACAAAATCTGATCAACTTCAGAATCGATTATACTATAGGCATGGGGAATTTGTGTTTTGGACTCTGTTAAGCGCTTTGCAATGGTGCGTCTCATTGAAGAAACTTCGATGTCAGTGTAACCAGACCTTGGTTTTGATGCAAGAGCAGGACTTGGTTTAGCTGCCTCCTTTGGCTCAGCTTTTGCTCTAGCCGCAGGCAGAGGTACTGGTTTTGGCGGTTTGGGCTGAAGTTTATTATCCTCTACATACTTCAGGACATCAGATTTCAACAATTTACCACCTCGGCCAGTTGTTGGAACTTGCTTAGCATCTATCTGGTACAGGTTCAGCAAACGATGAGCTGCTGGGCCATACTCATGGGGTTCATGCTTTACTGGTTCAGGAGCTGCAGGAGGTGCAGAAGTTGCAGGAGCTGCTGGTGCAGGAGCAGCAGCAACAGGCGCAGAAGCAGGAATTCCAGGAATCATTACATCTTTCCAGTCGGCACCTTCTGGAACGATAAGAGCTATTAGTGCTCCTACTTGGACATTTTGGTTGGCCGGTTGGAGAATTTTGGCAAGGATACCCTCCTCCTCAGTTTCGAAGGACATTACAGCTTTGTCGGTTTGAATTTCACACAGAACATCGCCAGGAGCGATTGTGTCTCCCTCTTTCTTGAGCCAGTTGACTATTAATCCTTCAGTCATTGTAGGCGACAAAGACGGCATGTTCACCTCCAATCCTGGAACTGTAAAATATCTAAGTGAGACCATATTTTTATTTTATAAATTCACGAGCACCCAAGCTAGACAAGACTAGAAAAATATGAGGATCATTATTGGTCAGTCCAGACCCCTGCATGTACAGATGTACGCTTTTAGAGATAATTAAGAAAGATTCAAGCGTAACAATCATAGAAATAATTAAACAAAATAAATCAAATCAGGGACAACTCAAGCAGTGCACAGCTCTCCAAGCCACTACATTACTTACGACTTCAGCACTGGAACGTGTGGTGCATTATTTTGTCATCTCTGCAAACGACGGTATTTGCCAGTTTGTTGGGTCTTCTAGAGCCCATTTGTAAAAATGAAAAAAGATGTGTCTGATAGTTTCATTTGAAAGAAGTTTGGACCATACTCCGATTAAAATCTTGGCGGGATCAAAACTAGGAGGCCTCCACTTGTGAGAAAAAAGCAATTTCCAATTTTGGAATATCCGATTCTTGGTGAATTTCCTGCTTTTATCAGAGATTTTTTAATGAGTCTGAGTACCTATTTGCCAGTTTTTTTTTCAGGTCTTAGGGACCTTGAGGAAAACCAGAAAATTTTTGGAAACCTTTAAATCAACTAGATGACATGTGATGATAAAATTATAAGGAAAAACAAATTACCACTTCCTCCTGAGGGTGGTGTTCCTTGAGCAGCCACTGGAGCAGCTGCGGGTGCTGATGCTCCGCCCGACACTGACACATTTTGCCAGTCTTCACCCTCCGCCACCATAATTGCAATGAGAGTTCCTACTTTTACATCCTTTGTGTTTTCAGGTACCTGGTAATACAAGAGTAATTATCATTGTTGGTCAGTTAATACTAGATGGAATGAGGATTATCATTGACCTAGCAGATCTGTGGATATTCAATTTACAAATGGGAGTTTTTAAGTGATGCTACAAAAGGAAAAAGACCCTGAGTAGGGTGTGATTGGACAAGCACCAGAAAAATAACAACTTAATCATGGAGAGGCTGTTGCAAGTTAAAAGATCAAATACAAAAACATTCAGGAGAAAAGAACATTTTGAGTTCATAAAAACCAAATTTTCAACCAGAAAAAGGAAAGCAAAAATGAGTCTTAAGTTTCCTAACCAATAGGTTTAGATCAATGACGGTCCTTTTTAATCAGTTATCATTTGTTCTTCTAATTTTAATTAGAATCCTTCACTTTTTTCACTGAGTGCTTCGTTCCGTATTAAAATTATAAAAAATTTTGAATGAATAACTTGAATTACCAAAATTTTAGCTAAAATTCCTTCTTCTTCAGTCTCAAAGGACATGACTGCTTTATCTGTTTGGATTTCACAAAGCACATCACCAGGTGCGACCGGATCACCCTCTTTTTTAACCCATTTCACGATTGTTCCTTCAGTCATGGTTGGCGAGAGAGAAGGCATGTTGATTGATTGACCGCTCACTGAAAACACACCAACAATTAATTACCACAATATATAAGTGCATAATGAACTCCTCTCATTTATACTCATACTCAGTATTTCTTCTCAAGATAAGTAATGAAATGTCATAGTGGGAAAAAGAAGCCCATAAGTGCAGAATCAGGCTGTATACATTCTGTCAAACTTTAAATATTATTCAGTGTACGTATTTTATTTTAAACTGGTTTAAGAGAAAATACTGTTTACCCAGAGCAAACCTCCTCCCCTCATATCCAGAACCATGCAAGAGGGAGGGCGGTATGGTGAAAAAGTTTATTGACAGGGGGAAACTACGGGAAATTAAAATAAAAGTTCAAAAGAAAAAGTGATCATTTTGCACGTTTGCACTTGATGTGCAGAACAATTAACGTAGGATTCAACTGAAATGGTGTAATAAGAGGAGGCAAGCAGCTTCAGACTTTACTAAAACTAAGCAACATTCATATTAGTTTGAAATGTTAAGATCAGCGTCTACTTACAATATTATTTGTTTCTACAGCATCATATTTTTGGGTTAGTTTGCGGATAAAATTTAAAGAAGTATATAATTGTTTCTTAGCATAGAACAGGAGATTCCACAAGTCCATTGTATGTATTTTTAATCAATTCTGGAACCATATCCATCAATACTTGAAAAAAAGGAACTCACAAAAAGAACCGTTAAAATTCCTTACCTCCACCACTACTTGCTTCAGGAGAAGGAGCAGCGGACGATCCTGCAGCCGTAGAGCTGGGCCCTTCGCTTTCAGATTCCACTGATTGCCAATCCTCACCTTCATTGACCATTAATGCAATTAAAGTGCCAACTTTGATGTCCTTGGAGTTTTCTGGCAGCTGTGAAGTAGAAAAGAGAATGGTAAAACTATTGAAGAATGAGTACCTCCTTTATTATGATTATACAAAATTTTGAAGGACTTTTATGATTTCACCAAGTTTTGCGATTCAAAATTAAGTATTAATTTACCTTGAATTAGATTCTTATGGACTGAAGTAGTAGGATTAATTCTTACATTCCTATTTAAATATTCAAGAGTATCTGTATATTTTAAATGAATTAAACTAAAACAATTGTGCAGATTTTCGTGGAAATTTCAGAGAATTTTCTCCATAATGCAAAGCAAATTCCTTAAAATTTTCAGAGGAATCCACACAAACGTTCTCTCGTAAAAAATTGAGCTGCCCACTTAAATTTGCCCATAGCTGATGTGGCTTGGTTCCTTTCTGTTAAACGCAATCTAGGTACTTCTTTGACACTTCCTGGGTTGGTGGAAATCAGTTCAAAACTGGAGGAGGAAATAAAAATGCTTTTTCGGAAAAATAGAAGATACCTAATCAGTTTTTGACAGAATTGCCTAAAATTTCCATACTGTCTCGGAGAGAAGAATTACAGGTTTTGAGACCTTCAATCAATAGCAAAATCATTTCTTTACTCCTAAAGAATACACAATGGACTCACCAAAATCTTTGCAAGTATACCCTCTTCTTCCGTCTCAAAAGACATGACAGCTTTGTCAGTTTGAATCTCGCATAAAACATCTCCGGGAGCGACAGTGTCACCTTCCTTTTTCAGCCATTTGACAATGGTTCCCTCTGTCATTGTGGGTGACAAGGATGGCATGTTGATCGGCTGACCTTTCACTGTAAACATGGATAAATTTTTAGATGTAGAGTTTTAGCGATGTACGGATTGAGCGAGAGGACTGGGACTAGTTTCCATGGCAATAGGTACTGTAAGGACTTAGGAAAAATTAACTTTGGCTAACTCAGAGGAAAAATAAGTGAGCATTACCTAACGATAAATTAAATCAATAGATTCTTACCGATTGATTTATTACATCAGTGATGTCAAAATAGCTCATTTAAAAGTATGGTATTATCACTTGAATTTGACAGTCACAAAACGTCTTCTGTTCGTTTCACTCTGTGAAATCTGTAATAAGGTACCTACCTAATCTTTTCATCTTTGATTTAGTTTATGGTAAAGAAACCTAAATAATACGGGCTAGGAAAGCCCACTGAGGCAAAATATTCAATGTCACGGAAACAAACATTCACTGCAACTGTCTAGTCATAATCAAGTTCATAATTGTTTGGACGATAAAACTTGTTCTTGGTAAGTGTCTAGAAGAAAAATATGGTCATCAAAGTAGGTGCCCAGGGGACAGACATATGAAGAGCCGAAATTGCTGCCAGTAGGCATCAAATAATGATGATGACAGGTCATACCATGAGATTTGAATGAAAGCATGATGCAAACCGTGGAGAAACAAGTCATAAAGTGGAGTTGACTTACCGTTCAAAAATACTGACGTGTGAAAGCATAACTTCTGTCTATGTTTAACTAAACTTGACTGATTCGAAAATGTGTTAAAACACTTCGGAATATAATTTAGAAGTCTTAACCTTCCAGCCATCCTGGTCAAATATTATACTTCAAGTGTCAACAGTTCATGCACAAACTTCACTCATGTGTCCTTCTTCGACCTTCAGGCGGTCCAACGTTGAACGTGAAGTTCACACTGCTGGAAAATCAACAAGAATGTTTACCGGAGAGGCTCACTTAAGAAAATTAATGTTTCAGCCAGGAGTTTGCGAAAAACGACACAAATTCGGCAAAATGAGGACCTTAACGACTAAAATTAACACGATGGGGAAAACTAACCTAAAAGTTTGTTGTCAAGTTGGTATCGAAAGAAACGATTACATCGAAAGTTGAATCGAAAGTTCGAAATCGATAAGACGAGCTACATCATTGGCTGTTCAAATTTTAGGGCGGGAATCACTAAGGCGGCAAGAATTTCCGTTTCCGTTTATTCGTTTCCGTTTATCCGTTTCCGTTCATCCGCGGCTGCCGTTCATTGCTGTGCCTCTTGCAAGGAAGAACACTGATCGTTTGAAAATACCGTAGAATTCCCAGGTAAGAGGTACTGTTCTTACCTCCAGACTAGGTACTATTTTCACGTATTGCCTAATTTTTGTTACCTAAAATCCAACCTTTTCTCCTCCATTTTTAGGAAGTTAAGTTTTAACTCGAGGTTTTGTACCCCTTTGGACTATTAAAGTACTTTAATAGTAGCCGTGTTTTTAATCTGTGAAATCTTACAAGATTTTTTTCTGCTAAAAATATTTCCTGTTAATAATACAGTACCTACTCTCTCCCTATAACGAATCGGCAAGGGACCGGGCGATTCCTTCGCAAAAGGAAGATTTTCGTTATAATGAGTGTCGTTATAGCGATAGAATACTATATCTTATAAAAAATACCTACAGTAATAATTTAACATATGAAATTGATAAAGGCGGAAAACTTGGAACACAACAATTATTGACGTTGATGAGTTCCTATATACATTTATCATCGATCATCGACCCTTCGTGTTTGAAGGTGATGATTTTTTGCCTATAACGTAAGGGGGTATTTTTGAGGCATTTTTGTTCAAAGGTCAATAATTTTTTACTGTAATTTTTCGTTTTGATTATGAAAACCAAGCCAAACTCCTCTCAATTTTATAATATGCATGATATATTCTTAGACTCTCGTTCTTTTTGCGCAGGAAAAGGAAGTTTTTTTCCTTTTAAAATTTATATTTTACTTAGATACGTGACCGCCTTCATATTCTTAAGCAGCATATAATTCTAAGAATACTGCCAAAATTAAATTTTGAAAAAAGAGCAAAAACCAGAGTCCTCACCAAATACGTTAATGAATTTTTTTGTAAGACATAGAAAATCTGTCCAATGAGAAAGGCAGATTGGTTGCTGCACTTTAAAAATGCGTGATCTTAATTGGCGCGGCAGTTACTCTTAAAAATTCGCAGCACCCTTGCTAAATTAGGGTGAAATGAAAATACCTATAAACATGTAATTTTTTTGAAATTTTAAAATGTTGCTGGGCCATGTTTTTCTTTCACAGGAATATATTTCAGATTTGTGAAAATTAAGAATCCGATGTGCTGATAACAAAAATTTTTATTTTCATAATATATACATAAATCTTTTGACCCAAATTAGCCCCAAGCCTATTATGAGTTTTTGGGGAAAATATTTACAAAAATTTACAAAACATAACACGAAAAGAACAAAGAACAATTGAAACAGAATTATAATTGTCGTCGTATAAATCACTTGGTGGTCGTTCAAATGGCACTTTTTTGTAACCTTCAACTGTACTCGCGTGCATAGATTGTGATTTTCTATCGTTTGCGGATGCGGAGTGCCACCAAATTATGGGACGTAAAAATTGAGGCATTGTAATCAGCATACCATATGAATGGTGAAGTTGTTATTGCAATAATTACAACTGCTGAAAAAGGCGGAGTCCATCAGTGAATGCGAAGACAAGGAAATGTGGATTTTCCCCCTCTAATTCCTTACGCATACCCAATGGATTTTTTGCGAGGGGCGGCATGAGTGGCCACCGCAGCAGGCGTTAGGGATGCCGCGGGCACATGGTGCTCCCTCACACCCTTCGACTTGCAGGGCAACCATGGAAATGGCAACCATAGCCAGGAAGAAAAATACGAGGAGCTTCTTGTACATGCTTGGGCTTTTTTTCGGCTTCTGCCTTTAACAAAAATAAACAATGGATAAGCAACATAAAATCGCCTCTGTTTTTAAATTAGATTTTAAATTACCTTAAGCTTGTAAAAAAATGTAAACTAGTTGGAGCTATTAAAATTAAGGCAAAACAATTCGAAAAGGCGATATACTGCATGTGCGCGCCAAAAGTGAATGCAATTACCGATCCATTCCATACAATTCATCAGGCTTGTTCTTTGAAATTGTCGCAGCTGAACATCAAAATTAGTTTTATTAAACGAAAAAAAATCAAAACGAAGGACGAGTCATTAAATTAAGTTGTTCGATCAGATACCTCATTTTCTTGCGAATTCGGGGGCCAGCAACGTTGTAATACAATTAAGCCACTCAATTCGAGGAAAACTAGTATAATGTTGCTATAAAACTCGGTAATAGTTCATTTCTTCGGCACGATTGGCAACGCTAGAATTAAATTAAGGTGTGAGAGAAACAATCAAAGCTTCAGTTAATTACGCATGCGACGGATACTAAGTTAATTTCATCAAAACGCCTGGATGCAACTATTCGGGCTCGACGGATGCCCGTGTTGCATATGCACGGAAGCGAAGGCGTTTTGACTTCGAACACTAATCGCCTCACCAGCGGCGCTCAAAGGAGCGAGTCAATGAGAGGAGTCATACAAAATGCGGGAACACTAAAAACTGATATCGATGTTAACATGGAACGTAGAGGCTTTAGAAGGGTTTATTGATTTTCTAGTAAAATTTTCTCTTTAGGAAATAAAACACAATCGGAGATTTTAAAAAGTTGCAATGGAATTGAGCATTTTCCAACTTCATTCTCAGCAATATCTTGATTAGCCTCGTAATTTTCCTGGTCTCCTATGCTACTTTACTTTTTTTACTGTGTATCGCAGCAATATTTTAGATTTCGTTTAGCTTAATTTTTTACGATAATACTTTACTGAGATCCTATGCACGGTTTACGTGTCCATTCATG